AATTAACTACACACACACACACACACACATATATATATATATATATATACTGTGAAATGAAGTATTTGTTTGAGGAACTGTTATAACATACTGATATTTCAAGCTACGAAACTAATAACCTTGTTTACCAAAGAAAAGCGAAAACTGTGCCGAAAACAAGTATGTGGGCGACGAGAAACGCAACAACACCAAGTCCGTAATACAAACAGGGAAGCCCTCCAATACTGTAAACTTTACCCTTTAGTTTGAACTAGCTTTTAACGGCTCTCGATATCAAGTTAATGTGGCCCTTTTAATAACGTGTACTGGTAAAAATGAGTGCTGGCAAAGACATACAACAAGAAAACAACAACAAGAAAAAAAACAGTAAGTCGATATAAGAAACCGGTGCATTTTATATTTCCGATATTTGCTTATTCTCGTCTTGTTTTCCAACAATAAAAAAAAAAAAATAGAAATCTGTGAACTTGATCTTTTAAATTTAAACATAACATTTATTGAATTATTCAGATGCGGTGATTTGGAAGATGTGGTTTTATATAATGCTTTACTCTCACAAAATGTTTATGGCTCTGGCATCGTACCGTATGAAGTATTGTACGTCTTACTCGCAGTATAATGATTATGACGCGTAATATTCTTACCATAACGTCAATACTTTGATAAACAAGAATTTATCAAAATCCACGTATTTCTCTAGATTTTGACTCTTTTAGAAGAATATTAATGACCTCTTCATATCAGGATTTTGAAAAATATCACATTTCTTGTTGCCGTTAATATGGACTATATGACCTTGTTCCCATTGGTTTGCTGGGCATGTGTGTGCAAAAAGGTAATATTTACGTTGTCGCTGGCCCGACATTCTAGTATGTAGTAAAATAAACGTTAAGAACCTTAATAGCCTATCGCCTGCTCTTCAATCCTCTCATATCTTCACTGCTCCTATTACACATGTTTAATTTTGTTGACGATTGGTCATTGGGACTTCGACTTTTACTTTGAGATAACATTTTATCGGTGAAAAATACATGGGAGCTCCATACTACTTCTTATACGTTTTTAGTTTAGTTTTTAGATAGTGCTCCATCTGCCATTATACTAGCCGCGACACACAAACCATTTGTGTAGCTTTCATGCCCTTCGCTTGAATTTTCCTTATTCAATTATTTTCACGCACGGCATTTACGTTACGCTTTCTTGCAGCCATTATGTGATAGATCGATCAATCTATGTCTATTTGAAATAATTTTACGCGCCCACACAAACAAACCTCACGTAGAGGTAACTTTATTTAATAAAACTGCACGTAAAGTAAACAATAAAGTATTGTTGCGTCAGCGAGTCACATGACTACTGTGACGCAACGTTTCTAGAACTATCATGTACTTTGGCGAAT